AGTTTAACAAGTTGGTCATCCTACTTTACTTATTAACATGGGCAGCCTCCCTTCCCACAAATCAGCCAGTCTGTTTTACTGAATTTACAGCCACCAAACAGCAATGAATTTTAATCAGTAGCTTGCCTAATACTTCATGTGACATGTCTTCTAATGGAAGGATAGCCTTGGTATAAAAACCTGAACAGAATTAAGTGTCAGTCTGGAAGCAATAGCGTATTGCCAACTAAAACTTTTATGCCTGAAGATAAAATAATGCCAAGTATCAATAGAGGAACGTTCCCAAATGCTTCAAGCTGTTCATAGGACAGGGAAACACCATATACACTTGCCCTGTCAGAGTTGCTCTGTGTGTGTGTGCGTGAAGACACATATGTATGAGTGTGTATAAATAAACTACGTAAAAATATGAAAAAGTCCTGGTCAAAAGTTAAGGTCAAGCAGGCACACTAATCTTACAGACCTAATCTGAGACACAAAGACCTGTTTCTTTCAGAGTACTTGGTATTATCAGATATGTTTTCTGTGTCCAATGCATCTGCAAATGATACCAATTGCAGCTATAAGTTCTCAACACTTCTGCAAATGACATCCTAAAGTCCTGAACTGAAGCGTTAGGTTTTAGTGACCATCTGTGAAATGTTTGGTTTCAGTGACTTACCTAGCATCGCACGGGAACTCCATGGAGGAGGCAGGCAGATAATTTCATTCTCCAGGACAGCTTTGATTTGCTTTAATCATATGCCCATCCTCTTTCTCCTTGCAATACCCTGGTCACCTCTCCACACCTTATAACTTTTGCAGATGAAGCAGGGGATCCTATATCTGACAGACAGCAACCCAAACCATTACAGCTTGACAAAATTATAAAACTGAAAATGGGGTCTTATTAATGAGAAGTGCTTAATGATAAGTGGTAGTACTAAAGCAAACTAAAATGATAAATGCCTATCAGTGAGGTGTGTATGCATCACTATACCCATTTTAGAGACAGGTAAACTGTGCAGAGGGCTTTAATAATTTGATCAAAGTGCCAGTTAGTCAACGGCAAAGCTAGAGAATAATTCACCCTGTCTCTTCTTATTCCTGATTTTGAGAGAAGAAAACAATAAAAAACCCAGAACCTCCCCCCACAAAATAAAACTGTTCCCATTTAATGCAGTTGGCCCAGACACAATTCAGTTGACATTCAGTCTGATTTTATTTTCACTTACACTGGGTAGTTCAGGATGAACTCAACAGGACTGGAACATCAGGCCCTCATTTATGAGCTTCATAAGCCAGCATGGTAAAGCAAAAGCCCTCATTTACTTCTGTCAGATTCCTACTTTGCAGATGATGTGTACATATTTAATTTTACAGACTATAACAGAGGAACGTGCTCTGGATAGCTAGGAAAGGGCTGCAATGAAGAAGGATACATTGCCACATTCATATTGCGAAGCAGAAAATTGTTTTTGTACTGTATCAAAGTTTCCAGGCTGCACCATCCTCTGGAGACAACCTCTACTTCCATTTTTTTCCTGGTATTTGTGTTTAGAGATAAAACTGCAGCAAAAGAGCACAGTGCAAATTTGCATCATGACTGAAGTTCTGTATTGTCTTGGCTATCCCAACATTGCCTGGAAGCCCTTTCCCATTGTAAGCCAAACAATCTACTCAAATGTGTTTTTCTCTCTGTAGATAGATATATCTGTATCTTCAGCTATATTTGTACCTAATAAGAGAGTGTATAATAACAACTCTGTAATGATTTCACATTGGTTTCTCCCAGGAACTTCACAATCACAACAGTCCTTCATTTCAGAATACTGTTTTATTATTTACTGTTGCAAATGTACATTTTGAATGTAAGGGATCAATAAAAGGAAGAAACCTGCCCCTCCTCCCCACATGATGTACAGTACATAGTCAGTTTGCATTGTTCCTAGTTTTTGAAGTTAGACATCAGGGTGCATACTGAAGAATACAGTTTATCATTTCTAGGTGGACTGCAGACACCACGCAACACAACTTTGATGGAATATTAGCTCAAACTTCATACAAGTATAATTATCTGGAGCTCCATTTGTTGTAGGAAAACTGCTTGTATAAGTGCAGTCATCTTCATGTGGAGCCTTCTTTAATGTGTTGGCCATATATTTTTGGAACAAAATGATTTCACAAAAGAAAAAAAAACCCCACAATGTAACAGCTCGCCTTTCTTTTAAGAACACAAGTAACAAATTAAAACAAACTTCTAATGAAGTACAAGAAAAATCACAGCTTCTTGCAAACTCAATTTGAAAAACCAGAGATATATTCTGCAAAGTTAAATCATCATCAAAAATGACTTTGGGTCTCTGACTTTTTTTTCTCTTCAGCTTCTGAACCTTATGTGCTCTCAGCTTCAGCAGTTACTCAGAATTTCCCTGCAATAAACTCTATTTACAGATACCTTTTGATCTCTTCTGCCGTTCTACTTTCCCAGCTTGACCTACATCAACCATCTCCATTGCTCCTGTTTCAGGCACTGTTCTGGACATTTATCTCCTCTCTCCAGCTACTTCTATTCACTTCCTTCAACAACTCTTCCCTGCTCAGTCACTTCCATCATCTTCAAGTCCAGCTCTTGACATCTTCAATCTCTTCCCTTCAGTCATTCCATTTTTCTCTTTTGTCTTGATTAGCTTCCTGCTCTTACATTTTTCTCCATGCAGCACCCAACTCCCATTATTACTTGGAATTCCTCCCTTAAATCCTTTAAGAAATGTTAACCTCTTTGGGGCAGGTTCGTATTGTCATGAGTGAAATACCATTCACTTCCACAGAGTTGCATTTGTCTAAGAGATCTGAAAATCTGACTCAATCTTTTACCACATACAGAAAAATCTGCACTAGTAGAGTGGGGATAGAAGGGAAGATTAAATAGTAATATAATGCTATGCTCTCTTTCACACAAGCTCAGCTTTTATTCTTGGTACGGATCTAAACAGTTTTACAGTTTGTCAACTCACTGTCACATTTTTCTGGTATAATATCAAAAAGAACAGTTTAATCACATTTGCTTCTTCAATCTCTTGGCAGGGGCTGTTCCAAGCTCCCACTGCTTTGTGCTAAAAACTTCTGAATTAGTTGCTAATGTCAGGAGAACCTGCCTTGTAACTATTGGCACCAAGACATTCAGAAATGTAATACAGAGGCTGCTATGATACTTTTTTAAAAAAAGAAGTAAATTTTATTTTCTGATTTACTGCTGGTCAGCTATTACCTTTACTTATATTTTTAAACTTGCAGCTTTTGTTTGGTGAAAACAGAACACAGAAAGCCCAAGGATCAGTAGCCCAGAAATCAGGACTTATGAAAAACTAGATGCCTACTTGCCCCATGCAATTACAATAGTTCCAATTCTGCAACTGCTAGTGGATAGGAAGATCACTGCACATAAGCTGAGCCCCACTGCTTTTAATGTGGTTCTGGCTTGGCACAGCAGTCCACCCATGGGCAACCCAACGCTGAGGAGAACTTCAATTTGGGTGTTCAAGCAGCCATTTGGGCATGCAGCTGCATGCACATTCTGAGCCTGGCCTTTGGTTTGGACAATTTGGTCATTCAAACTTTTTGATATAAGCATATTTATGTGTATAACACTCACTATATGGTCAGAGGCAAAACTAATAATCATGACGTGTGCTGGGTTGACAGCTTTGGAAACCACAATCCTCTAGCTGAAGCATATGGACAGCAGCAGGGATGGCTCCCCTAACAGATGGCTTCCCTAACGCTTTCCAGCCCCTGGTCCCTGGAAGACCACTACGAGGGACAAGAATACTGATTAGCCTCCACACTCAACCCGTCTTTGGCTTCTCTGCTGCCCGTTCTGGAGATGGTTCTGCAACATGAACCCTGGTCCAACTAGACTGTGACTGCAACCTCAATTCATATTTGTTGCAAAACTGCCACCGGTTGGTAACAAGCTTCACTCTTCATTGTTACCTACCTACCCAATTCTGAATCATCATCATAGAGGTAGAAGACTAGCTATTCCAGAACCATTTCCCAGGCACCTTTCAGTTCTACAGATTTCAAATGAAAAAAATAATTATTTTTAAATACTGCTGTTAACTATCTTATTTATTTTTTTCCTTTTACCTACAGTATGCTCTACACTGGATCACTTCTGGACTGAGGTGCATGTCCAGTTTATCATATATAATAATATTTTGCACTTATATAACGCTTTACATTTTGAAAGCACTGCATGAACATTAGCTAACTAATGATTGTGCATTTAAACCTTAAGGTTCCGCATTAGTATGTCTATATACTTGATGGCCAAAATATTAGCCCCTGAGAATAGCTTTATAACAGAAGCACTCAAATCAATGCCATCAGTAGATGTGGCTTTATTTAGAAGGAATTAGTATAGAAAGAGTGCCTGAAATTATTTATCTTTTCTATTTATAATAAATTGGCTCTTTGGATAAATTTATAACTATATTAAGAATACATTCGTTAACCATGGCATCCACTTTGGAAAGACTTATATTTACAAACTAGGAAATGCAGGTTCTGATATTGAACAAATGGGTATGAGAATCATGTAAAGAAAGGGTCCCTGATTAGGCACCCTGGCATCCATGAATAGTGCTGCTGACATCATCTCACATGGAATGAATCTGCTTGTATAAGTAACAGTCAGAGGCCTAATAGGCACCTATACAAGTGCAGCGAGGCTCCTTCGACATGCTGTAATTACTGCACGTTGGAGCAATTTGATTAATTGAGTCTGTTGGAGCATGGTAATAACTGTACTCCAGTAGACTCCAGCATGATGTGTATCAGTATCCCCGCACTGAAAAATGGCAGCAGGGGCCCTTTAACTAAAGCTTGTTCAATGAGATTTAGTTAAAGCGTCCCCGCTGCCATTTTTCAGTACGGGGTCCCTGATACATGTGATGCTCTGGGTGCTTTAATTAGAGAGGCTCTTGAAGCTGATCTAATCAGAGCACGCTCCCAACTCCTGGAGCACGTCTATAAATGTCCATGATGCCCTGTGTTTATTGGTTCTGATAAACTGCTATTTAAATTCTCTTTACAAATACATTCTACAGTAACTGTGTCTAAGGACTAAGGCATCCTGTCTTGAGAGATTAACAGAGTCAGCCCTATGCATTTTGTAAAATCTGCTCCTGGGCTGATGCCTATGTATCCAGTAGCTGATTCTACAAAGCTCTGCAGCAAAGCACATCCACACCCAGGGCATGCATCTATCCCTGAATGCCCAAGTGTGCGCTAAGCTCCTTTGTGAATAGTTGCTAGCTCACTAGTGAGACTCGGACAGTAATAATTTGGTTAAAAGAAAGTCAAGCAAGCTAGAAACAATTCAAAATCAAGTAGATTCTAACTCACAACTCAATACAGATATTTGATACTGCAGATATTGCGTCCAAAGAGAAAGATTTCAGTTCAAAATAATAAAATTACAATATCTGTGCAAAACATGTACACTTGTCAGAGTGCAGGAGCCTGTTATATTCACTACATTTTTCATTACAGTTGCTATTTGCTACATTGTGAATTCAGTCTTGGTTTGCACCATGTTTTTCGTAGATGGAAAGAAACACTTTTGCAATAATTTGACAGGAAAATGGAATTTCTTCCTGACTGAAGGAATATGAATGTTGAAAGTTAATAACAATGAGATTCTTGTAAGTAAAAAGTGCAAATATGTGTGCATAACCTCCAAACTTTTGACACTGCTTCTATCTGCTGGGAACTTCAAAGCATCCTTCGTTCTGAGATGATTTACCAGTTGAATAGTATGTTTTGACCAAGTGTCATAAAGTAAATTTGACTGCAGCCTCCTGATTGTACAGACGCAAAGAACACCTTGAAAAGGAAAAAGGGATAGACCACTGTCAGTTTACATTTATGAGAAGATTTTTAAATATATTTGACAGCTTCAGGACAAAGACAGATCAGAATACTATTCTAGATAAAAACCTATTCAATTATAATTCTTTGAGGTTCATTTTTTTTTTAAGCAAAATTAATTGTAAGTGCTTACAAGGATATATCCTGGTAATATGTTATGGTGTATACATTTTCTACTAGAAAGGATATCAGAGCACATTATCAAACAATTTACTAAACAGTTTCTGGATACAATATTCTGAATACATCAATTCTGAAACAATCAAGCAACATCGCACCTGTAGAGATAGTTACCGTGTATCCGCACTAATTTAGTCACACACAAATGAGGAAATACCTGCACCACCTCTAATATCACTGTTTGGTACTTTCCTCAAAAGGTTGCTCGAAATTCACCTTCTTGTGCTTGCATTTAAGAGGCAATTTTCAAACTAGGCATTATCAGAGTATGGTAACTATTCTCAGACGAGAGCTTCAAAGCTGGTTAACGCTGACTTTTCACTTGCAGTAGAAAGCAGGTAAAATACAGGGCTACGACCTGTCTGGCTTCAGATGTGGGATTCTGTCTATAAAAGGCAGTTTGTGGGATCAGCACCTATGGTTGCTTTTGATTGAGCAGTTATGCCAAAGTAAGAAAAATCCACCATTAATAACATGTTAAAGAAAAAAAATAAATAGGTGAATCTTGTTTTTCTTATTCAACTATTAACCATATCTGTACCTTGTCATTTCTTTCACACAGAAATTTTAGCTTCTGTGCTTTCTTGTGCATAAATACGCCTTCCAGATTTCCTGTTTCCACAGAGCGCAGTTCAATAGCTTTCTCTCCCCAGCCCATGGCCTGGTTAGACTGAAGATAAGCTAAAATGAAATAAAGCCACATTTTACAGATTAGTAAAACAAAGGGGATTCAAATATTTGTCTGCTGTTAGTAAAACGGCAGGTCCATTTACCCCCTGTAAGCATATTAAAGATTGCAAATCTAGACACACCCAGTATTCAGCTTTTAACTATACAGTGGAGTCCAATTAGATTGTATCTTCAAAAAAGGAAATCACATCCACTCCAACAAAACCTGTACTGAAATACTGCATAGAAAATAGATGGTAAAAGGTTAGCTCCTTGCCTTAGGGGCAAATCCTTAATAAACAGACTTTACAAATGTGATCCACTCAGGAAGGTTTGTCAAATCTATTAAAGCTTCCCCCCAAAACACAGCAGGACGACCAACCTATACAGTTACTCTGCGGTGCTTTGCACTGTCTGGGGCATCAGCACTGTTTGCATCGTTTTACCTTCTCCCTACAATATTGCCTTTTTGATCGGTGCTTCAGTGTGCACTGTGCTCTTATTTTATCCATTTCTTTTACCATTTCACCATCTCTTATTCTTAATTCTCTGTGAAAGAGCAGTTTTGTGGTTTAACAAGGATAGAAATGCACTCTTCACTCCGCACTCTGATTATATATTTTTTAACTTCTTTAGCTTACCCAAGAGACTAGAGCCTCTCTTTTCATTAAACGGATCTGCATCCTAATGTGTGCTATGGATATTAAAAATGCAAGCGAGAAGTCTAGAAAACATCACTCAGCACTAGATTCTGACTTCCCTTACAGCAGTATTTATCTGAGGTAATTATACTTACCCCATTGGAGTGTCTCTGACTTTACACTGGTGGAAATGAAACTAGAATTAGACATACCTGCCATTCACTTTAATTACTGCCGTTTAAAAAAAAGGTCTTAACAACAGAGTTGTACCTAAACTCTCTGCATTTGTTTCATTTCTAAGTAATTTTTTTGATTTCCATAATTACAGTAAATTAGTGAACATCATATACTAGCAATACATGGCAATAATGCTAGTGCCAGGTGATCTTAACTGTAGCAACCTTGCTCGTGTAACATAGCATTTAGATTACTATAATAACGTATGCTGTGGTGATTAGGTAATATATGGAAAATAAATGCCGTATTTTTGCAAATCTCATACACCCCACTCTCCGTCACCCCAAAAAGACATCCACCTCCTTTGGGAAGGCAGAGCGAAGGAGAAAATAATTCCTTTTTAACCAAACTGTTCAGATCAGCTTCCTTATTTAGGATGTGCACCCCCACTTTCAATGGCCAATATTTGGGGGAAAGGTGTACGGTAAGCAAATAAATAAAGATAAGTGTTGTCAGCAAAGGGCTTGATGATTCGAGCCCCTTCTCATTTCACTGATATCTCTGGCAAGACTCCTACTGCCAGAGGAGTATGACCAAGATTTCACCCTTAGTTTTATCTCCCGATGCTGGAAATAAAAGGTAAATGGGAAGCTGAGAGCAGCATTTCTCAGAACCAGGGTAGGGAAATGATATGGCAGGATGTCAAAAATACATCCAAGGGCAGCTCTTCAGCTGGTGCACACTGTTTTAACTTCATTAAAGTCAATGAGTCCCAGTTTACATGTATCTATCGGTGGTTAATTGACAGCAGTAAGCGGTTCTGGAACTGACAGTACCTTCTGGCTTGTGCGGAATCTGTGGTGATTAGGTAACATATGGAAAATAAATGCCGTATTTTTGCAAATCTCATACACCCCACTCTCCGTCACCCCAAAAAGACATCCACCTCCTTTGGGAAGGCAGAGTGAAGGAGAAAATAATTCCTTTTTAACCAAACTGTTCAGATCAGTTTCCTTATTTAGGATGTGCACCCCCACTTTCAATGGCCAATATTTGGGGGAAAGGTGTACGGTAAGCAAATAAATAAAGGTAAGTGTTGTCAGCAAAGGGCTTGATGATTCGAGCCCCTTCTCATTTCACTGATATCTCTGGCAAGACTCCTACTGCCAGAGGAGTATGACCAAGATTTCACCCTTAGTTTTATCTCCCGATGCTGGAAATAAAAGGTAAATGGGAAGCTGAGAGCAGCATTTCTCAGAACCAGGGTAGGGAAATGATATGGCAGGATGTCAAAAATACATCCAAGGGCAGCTCTTCAGCTGGTGCGCACTGTTTTAACTTCATTAAAGTCAATGAGTCCCAGTTTACATCTATCTATCGGTAGTTAATTGAGAGCAGTAAGTGGTTCTGGAACTGACAGTACCTTGTGGCATACAGACTCGGGAGAGATTTGGATAGTCCATTTTGTCTCATACATTTGATCATATCCTTGACTGAGATTCCCTGGAAAACTTAGCAGTTCGTAACACAAAGAAAATGCCTGACTTGGCTTGCAGTGGGATATGGTCTGTGTAGCATCAAAATAGCAGGGGTAGCTTAAACTGGCTATGAATTTCCGGCAGGCAGGGAGCTCGAGGGTACAAGGTTTCCCATCATCCCTGCTTCTCCTTGGGCTCCTGGCAGATGTTACACTTAAGGCATGATTAATCATTTAATTGTGTCTCAAGTAGCAGCTACACATTCATGCAATGAATGGTGCGATAGAACAGGGGAAAAGCCACAACATTATTATGCATATTTTGTGCAATAACGTTGTGGCTGGTTCCCATCGGGCCATACATGAATGTGTGGCATTCCCAGGCCTGGAAGTGCCCTGAGAGTCTCAAAGGGCTCATGTGTGCTCCCGTAGCTGGGAGCATACAGACCCTGACTGGTGAGCCCAGCCACAGGGGTGCACAACAGCCCTTCAAGGCTCAAATTTCGGGCTCTCCTTGGCATCAGCAATAGGGCATAGTTGTGGGATTGGGGATCGGATCCCAATCATATGTGGCAGGGCAGTAGGCGCAATTGCTGGGATCGTGGATCACATCCCATTGCACCTTTAACTGAACGTCTGTCAGGGGGCCCGGCTACTTCCCCTGGGGCAGGATGGTAAATACTACCCTGCCTTCGATATTTTTTGTGACAAACTTTCATCCCCTTCATTGAAGGGCTGCTTTACATAGGGAGGCTACTGTAATATAAGCTGAGGTGTGGATTTGCACTATACTAGCTAGTCCACACAAACTCCCTGTGTTCCCACCATTACTGTACAATAAATGGAACAAACTATAAAGGTATTCGAGAGCAGGGGTGGGAAAAATATGGCAGATTCAGCCCACAGAGGGACTTTGTCTGGCCTGCGGCATGTCCTTTAGTTCTTCCTGGCAGGACCCAAGCCCCAGGCTAAGCGCACTGCCCCAGCCCCAGTCTGTCCCGTGCAGGGGGTCCTGGTCCCTGCAGCACTCACCCTAGACCTGCCCACAATGAGCGGCAGTGGTGGCCAGGCAGAAGCTGCTGCTGCGTGTGGGAAAAATGTGGGACCTGGCAGTAGGTATGGCTGCCTCCCCCTTGCCACTGCCAGGCCTTTTTTGCTGCTTCTGCCTGAAGTCTGCCCTGTGGCTTTTCCCCCCCCCCCCCCCCACCCACAGCACACG